ACCTATTTTTCCAAACTTTCGTTTTTTAAGTGTTTTACTATTAAACAGGCATATTTATAAAATCTTTGATAAAAAAAAAACGATTCTACACTATAGCAAAAATTCGTTATATTTAACCACGTAAAAAAACAACATGTAAGCTACCACAAAGTAAACAAACAGCTACCACTATTCACTTCACTTCTTTCCTGAATAAATTGCTGATCAAAATAAATTCTTTTGATCAATTTAAACTATTTGATAAGGCTGAAAAGTAGCATGTGTCTTTTGTTTTGATTTGAAAGGTGCGTGGCAATCAGCTGTTTTAGGGTATGACAAATGTAAACAACTTTTAAAAAAAATATTAAAAATACTTCTAATTCAGCTAGAACAAAAATTTAAATTGCATTAGAAAGAAAAAGAATGGTATTTTATTTTTCAATCAAAATTGAAAAATCGATTTTCTCTTCGATTTTCGTGAAGTGCATTTTTTTTTCCTTTCATTATTTCAGTGTGCTTCTACTGTATAAACTTTGTACGAAAATCAATGTTTCATGCATTTTTGCTTCCATTAATCGATCGATACATTTTATATTAATCTCGAGAAAAGCTTTAAACACTTTTTATGTCTAATCCGATGAAATCACTAATGACCTATTGCATTGGTCGTTGTTAAGTATCAGCCTCACGGAAAGGGCTTTCGACTGATAGGAATGTTATTAAATCTCGAAAAGTATTTTCATGTATTGAATTACAGATTGTTTGTCATTCATTCTTCTTAATGTTCTTCTTGATATAGAACACTTACTTTTCCATTGTTTCTGGAGAAATCGAACACTTAACAGTGTTTTGAATAACAATTTTCTTCGGTCATTTTTGTTCCTTTGACATATTTTTTGTTTTATGATAGAAACTCTTCACAGCGTTTAATTAGTTTCTTTTATTCGCTTCATACAGGTTTCTTTCGAAGTTTTCATATCTTTGTTTTTTACATTCGATGCTAGTTTTCTTAATGAAAACATTAGGATAATTTTTGTAGTACAAATTGAGGTAATTTTATTAAGAATTTCAGTTAATCTTTCTTTTATTCTCAAACGGACAGACATTTTTTCGAATAGAAATAAAAATAGTTAAAATGCAATGTATCTAATAATATAAAAATACTATTTATCTAAAAATCGTTCAGAAATGTAAAAGACGATTTAATATTAAATACAAAGAAAAATAATTCGGGGGATTATTTTTTACAAGAAATGAAGCAATAAATCGAAATTTTGTTAAAGTCATTTATAAAATTCGTTTAAGTTTTCCTGTTTTACAGGGTTTACGGATCACACTGGAAAATTCCAACAGAAATTAAATGAACATTTCTTTCTCACGGATCCGGACACAATGATCTGGACCCATTACCCTTACGATGAGATGGAAAATAACTACAGCAGGTAAATTGTTTTCTTTCTACTGTTCTTTTCCCCCTCAAAATAAAAATATCTATCAAAACACATCATTTAAATCAAATTAAAAATTTACTTTATCACATTGGTTCTCAAAGCAATTGAAGAAAGTTTTTAAGAGATAGTTGATTAAAAGGTAATAGATAGGTACAATATAGAGTTGGACAACTGTTACACAATTTCCGCGGCTCAAAATGTTTTGACAAGTCGATACGTGGAAATGGATGGAATTTTAAACATATTAAGAGTAGTTATATATAGTAAGAAATAAATCTCAGTATAGTTTATGGACTCTGGCAATAACCATTTGTTGAAAACATGATACATATGTGACACAAGTCAAAAACAATGAACTGTAACACAGCAATTATTTTTAAATATTCTAGGAAATTATATTACTCCATCCTGCTGAATCTATAAGAAGAGTTATCGACAATGCAATACAGTGAATTTTAATATTTCATCTGCCAAAAAGTATTTTAAAATGAAGATTTTAGTAATGTCACTATGTGAATTCCCATTTAAATTATTTGGATGTTATGTGAAGGAGAAAAAAACGACTCACTCACTCATCACGAGAACTATTAAATCGAGTCACTTGAAATTTGATAAGCATGTTTCGCTTGTTGAGTAGAGATCTTCTAAGAACTGGTTTTGTGAAACCTTAGGCTTAAAGGAGTTTAGAGATAGAGTTCTATTTTTTTCACCATTTAGACCTACAGACAGATCTTCTAACAACGGGTTTTGCAAAAATCGACTCTTAAAAGGGGTTAAAGAGATTCATTACAAACAAAAATTTCCGATTTTGAATTGTTGCACCAACTTCCTTGACTTGCAATTCGGCCAATAGTTTTTAAATTGAGTACTGATTTTCTAAGACCGAATTTGCTAAGAGCGTAAATTGTCTCTCACATCAGCGTAAAGGATAATATTTAGATATTTGTTTAAAATAGTATTTATATATAGTTAATACAGTTAATCTTGAAAAGTGCTGGGTTCTTCGGCATTTTTTATTTATTTCACTTCGTTGTCTTATTTGCTAAATCGTTCTTTCCTTAACGTTTCATTTGCAGAATTTACTTAAAATTATTCAAAATATTAATTTAATCTTGATCTCATTAATATTTGTTTTATCTTTCTATCTCGATTGTTATATTTTTCATTTCCCCCTTGCATAGAACTGGTATATATCTGCTAGTATCTTATAATCTTTACGTGTATCGACTCTATGCTTCATTAAAATTCGTTTTTCTGTCCTGTTGGGAAAAAAGTTTCTTTTCCAACAG